GGTATTGAGGCCAGGAATGATCCCATATGGACTTGTGCGCGAAACGCATAAGTTCAAATTCGGTTCTTTCATGTATTGGCAGCCATCCCAATGACAACACATCTCCTATGCGACAGTATTTGTTGGTTACAAAGCTTGCGGCTGCGTTTTGGACGCGCTGTAGTTTCTTTAGTTGGGTCGCGGGTAGTGGGTGATAGACGACTATATTATAAAATATTTTTGAAAGTATCAAAGATTCTGCCAACTGTTTTTTGATATGGAATGGTGTAAGATTTCTTAATTTCTTTAAGGTGGAGAGAACTGCGTAACAAGATGAAGTTACGTGTTTTATGTGACATCCCCATTTGAGGTTATCACTAAACCATGTGCCTAAAAGTTTGAATTCTTCAACTTTCTCTAATGTTTGTGCCTTGACTCTGATATCAGGAACAACGGTGTCAAGTCCGTGTACTCTGAACATTTTCGAGGTTGTTATTAACATTTGTTTGGTTTTTGTCTCATTAAGGGCGAGATTTGATTCTACTGCCCAGTTTTCAAGCACAGTCATTGCATCCTGAAGTTTCTTAGCGCATTCATGTATCTTTGAAGGGACGCTATGTCGATACAAGGTCGTATCATCGGCATACTGATAGCATGAGCATTCCAAATCTGGTTCCAAATCGTTTACATACAAATTAAACAGCACAGGCCCCAAAATAGATCCCTGCGGCACTCCAAACTGTACATCAACTACCTGCGATTGTTTCTCATTAATTTGAACATACTGTTTTCTCCCAGTTAAGTAATTCAATACCCAATAGATTGCATCATGAGAGAAACCGACGTTGTGAAGTTTCTTAAACACGGTGGCATACTCGACAGTGTCAAATGCTTTAGAGAAGTCAGCGAAGGCGATGAGCGTAACTTCTCCTTTTTTCATCGCACGAATGATGTCGTCTCTGATTCGCAGTAACACTGAGTTGGTGGAGTGGCCTTTGCGGTATCCTGACATACCACTGTGGAGTATGTTATGGTCTTCTATGTATAAAAGCAACTGTTTGAGAACAAGGCGTTCGTAGATTTTTGATAAGGCTGGCAAAATTGCAATAGGCCTGAAATCATCCGATTCGACAGGGTGGTCAGTTTTAGGTATTGGGGAGACTCGTGCAAGCTTCCAAATTTTTGGAAACGAGTTATTAGAGATGTAATGGTTGATGGTTGATATTTAGACTCTACTTTGGTTTGACAATGTCAATGACCCTGAAATAGAGTCGAATATCATCGCTATAATTTGTGTCTTGTTTTCTTAAAATAACGCTTATAATTCGATGCAGTGGTAAAATAGAAGACACACTACAAGTCTATACACAAAGCAAATTTCCTAACAGGGGCCAAAATTTTCCATGCAGAGAGGTAAATTTCCTAGAACAATTTTTCCAGTGCAAAAATAACTAAGTATAAAAGTTATTTTCTTTTCTATACATAGCAGTGTAACAGTTAGAGGTCGACTTGTGGCAAGTCTATATAACAGTGCTTGTCAGTATTTGGTAGCCAAGAAATTAAATTAAATTCTCATATTACATCTGTATTAATTAATAATGCAATATGATAGCATCTTTTCTGACGTCCACGTTCTCCATGCATGACCATAATAAATGTTGATATGTCGACTATGGCGCGTGACTTCAGCAGCTACCTGATAATTCTCATCGCCATAATATTTCTCATATTGCTATGGAAAGCTGTAACTTTGTTATTCAGCGAATCACAAATTCCAGGCCCTAGGGGAAGTTGGTTACTTGGACAACTATTTCAACTCAAGGAAAGTAAGGATGTGATGCAAACTTTCGTCGAATGGGGAAAAATCTACGGACCGATTGTTGAATTTCGACCTCTGGGAATATTTGGTAAGCATGATGTTTTATTCAGATGATATAAGCCAGTTTGTAGTTCACACCACCCATCCATGTGACGCGTTTTGAATCTGAGATGAATAAGGACTCGTTTTGAATCGTAATCACTGTACGGCTGAGAATATTCTACAAATAACCTAAATTGAATATTCTACAAATAACCTAAATATTCTATATATAACCTAAATTGATCGAAGAATAATTGAGGATTGCCATTCTTCAGATTACCAAAATATAGATATATATATATATAACAATACCCTTATACCCATACATAAATTTAAGTTGGTTTCGGGCTAAAGTCCACAACACTACGACGACATCCCACTATTCAGACCAATTATTAGCCGAATTCATATTAAAGACGGGAAACTCGTCTGTATGAATCCGGGAGCAGACGAGTTTCCCGTCCGAACTTTCCCGTCCGAACTTTCCCGTCTAACTTACCCGTCCAAACAGACGGTCTTAAATTCGAATTTATCCGTCCCTAAATTCATATTCAGACGGGTTTTGACAGACGAGTTTCCCGTCCCTAATATGAATTCGGCTATTGACAACCGGTATTCCACATTACAACGTATGTAAATGTCATTAATGTCTTCCTCGGTTATTGAATCCTTTAGTTTAGCCCAAAACGAGTACACTCTCACTCAGTGATTCATTTCGTGCAGTTTGAGATGTTTTAACCTCGGTTTTAACATCTAATAGATAGATTTAAAAATCTATACCTAATGAGTCCTTCTCAGAAGTTTATCTCATGAAGTATATTACATTTATGCCTTTGATATAATTTCACTGTTTATAAATGCTAATCATATAGTGTGCACCCGCAGATTGTGTCCCCCCGGACACTATCCGCTAGGCGATGTTGTCCCCTGTAATTACATTTTCGCAGATAGTTCACTTCCCCATACGCAGTGAACGAAAAATGCTCACAGATTTATAAGGATTTTTTTTAATCTTGAAGTGATTCTTTTTTTTTCAAGTTTGTCTTAATTAAACACCTTTTTCAAATGCACTCAATTGAAGCGCCCTTATAATCGTTTGTTTTCGATAACAGTGAGGATTTATAGACTTTATAGTGCAGTAATGAAAGGATTGAATAAATTAACATGCCTCTATTGTAAACAGAATTCGTTTGAATTACATGCATTCCACGTTTCCAAGGTCCCTCCAGCCTTCATGCCCCCCCAGTAAACTATTAAACTATTTTGACCCCTTCAATAAAGGACCCTTTTGTCCAAAGTATAAGAGAAAAAGGGAAAACTGACTTCAGATTAGTGCTTTTATTTTCTAATAAAAGATAAACCTTAACCTTGTTTTTATACTGAAAGCTCTGTTTGGTACTTGAATATGATAAACTGAAGTTACATTGGAAATTAAACCCACGGGACTAAAAAATACGAAGATGTCCAGACCATTTTCGTATTTTCGAGCCTTTTGCGTTTATTTGAATTATTTCAGACGCGACTTTTTATATATTCAAGTATACAAACTGAACTTTCTTCAGTATACTCCCTTCCAGTGAACCCCACACCGCTTTCCTATAGTAGTAATTGCAATCTTTCCAATTCCCCACTTCTTGTCTGGACTGCAGAAGTGAGGGATAGGAGTGAAACCTTCCTTCAAATATTTTTTACGACAATAGCTCAGTTGTGTGTCCATGAAACTAATAGATTGTTATGGCTTGCTAGGGGAATTTGTTTACTAAAGCAGTAAAGTGAACAATAAGGTTGCATCCCAGCTATATTGAAGGTTATATGAAGATATCTATTTTATTAGTAAGGACTGTATAAAGTTCAAACATTCCCGCCCAGCAAAACGCAGAGTTATATACTCATGTCACCTAGTTACTACTGATTTTTATTGCTTTTCAATTTTTATTTGCTAGTTTCTCTAACTTGACCTCTTGTGTCCTTCCAAATCCCGAATGCATTTTCAAACTTTCTAAGAGCAGTGACATGTTGTAAGATTACACGTTATTCCACAATAAAATGCATGCAAAAAATTAACCATTTCACGAAAATTAAAGAACAAGTTTTTTACTATAGACCCATTGCACATGACGTCACAGCGCCGGTGACGATGCATCTGGAGGACAAATCTGTGCATAATATAACTTTTGTAAACAAAGCAAATTTTGTAAAAGTTTATAATAATTTTGTATTAAAATGGTTAATTTTTGCGCTGTATGTGGTTGTTGTAGCCGAATAGATATTGTTAGGGAGCATCTGGAGGACACTCTGAGGATTTGTGACGTCAGTGCAATGGGTCTATAGACGGCAATTCGTATTTACTGAGATATTCCTGTCTATGCAGATTCTCCTGTCTGCATGTTCCCGCAAGGATTCCGGTGACAATTTGTGTTTGGTGGAATATATAGTTTCTGCATGATTGCTTCTTACGATATAAGTTACATCTGTAACAAATTTCATGCGTGATTGTTTAGGGCACAAAAACTCAAAAAGAGATACCATTTCTAGATTAAATTGAAAGATATATCGATATAAAACCTCTCAAGCACAAACGGCAAACTTAACTTCTTCCAAATAATTATTTCTCTTTAATTGAGTCGATTTAAGCCAGCTTTAGAAAGAAAGCGTTGATCAAAAGTCTCATTACAGTCGTGACAATGGAAGGATTCCTAACATATTTTACCAATTCATCAATTTCCTCATGCGAACCAGTTCTTAATTCGCAGGCGTGAACCTTATCTTACACTGATATAGGGGTGAACACTGAACACCTTATGTTAGATATAGGGCAGGCGTAAAGAGCTAATGTTACAAATAGGGGCAGGCGTGAAAACCATATCTTTCACTGATATAGGGTGGAACACCTTATGTTACATATAGGGGCATGCGTGAAAACCTTATCTTACACTGATATAGGGGTAGCACCTTATGTTACAAATAGGGGCAGCGACGAAAACCTTACGTTGTCGAGAATTACATAATATTAGTCTAATTATGGACGTGTGAGAATCGCGCGAGACGCGTAGGGTTTTTCGGTCAGTATAATCTGCAGACTGCAGACCGGACTGGGTACAAAATGCAGACTGGGGGGATAAAATGCAGACTGAGGATAAAATGCATACTGGGGGTGAATTAGGGATATTTTAGAAATTCTCGCCAAGCCATAGTCGAAATCATAGATATAGGAGATCTAGATTGCTAACGCATACCTAGCAAAAAGACTATAGATTCTATTACAAAAATCAGGATTTTTGCATTTTTTGCCGTCGCATTGTTTCGAAACTTATTCGGTCAAATTTTATGGTAAAGAGAAACTTACCGCGAAAATTTTCAGCATATATATGATTGAATTGGATGAAAAATCGCAAAATTATCCATCGATAAAAATTCGTGTGAAATGGTCAGTTGGTCAGTTGGAGCGTTTTATTGCCAGAAATACTGTGCTATGTTAACGTCTAGCCTTGCGAATGGTGTTTTATACTTGCATCTCTCATCATCATCTGCTCTGTCCTCATAATTATGAAAAATGAACTGTTATGTACCCCCCCCCCCTTGCTTGTTAGAGAAGTAAACTGATGAGAGCACTGGATGAGGGTCTATCATCTATGGTCTGTTATAATTTGCTTTCCATGCAAATAGTGAGCAAAAATTAAAGCAAAACTGTACAAGTTACATATATAGTACTATATCAGTACTATACACGAACTTTTATCGCTGGATAATTTTGCGAGTTTTCATCCAATTCAATCATATATATGCTCAAAATCTTCGCGGTAAGTTTCTCTTTACCATAAAATTTGACCGAATAAGTTTCGAAACAATGCGACGGCAAAAAATGCAAAAATCCTGATTTTCGTAATAGAATCTATAGTCTTTTTACCCTGTTGTACCGCCATCTTGGATTTATCATGTAGGCCCCGCCTGCGCTAGGTATGCGTTAGCAATCTAGATCTCCTATATCTATGGTCGAAATGGACGAAGACAGCGATGTAGAGGTATTAAGAGGTATTGATATTATATGAATATTTATATTATTCTCATTCAACCGTAAACTTGATAACTTTAACACATTTCTTTACGTTTAATATTTGAACGTTTGGTTACTTTGCATTAGATCGGAACAA